CTGGGAGTTGAAGTCCACCGGTCTTAAAGTTGCCAAGGTTGAGAAACACTGCTCCAGGTGTGATGGGAAGGAGGCGGGAGGAAAGCAGACGGGTGGGGACCCTCCCATGGGATTCTTCCAGAAAAGCACAGCCGAGAACAAGGCCCTGCTCCCTCTCTGCAAAGATTTGGGGTGATTTAGAAGCACCCCCCAAGAATGAATCCCAGCCCACCAAGGAGGGAGCTCAGTCTCCCTCGTGCCCGGCAAGCACTTCTAGCTGAACCAACTTGGCTGGGTTGTTGTGAAGGTGAAAAGGAAGGACTGAGCGGAAACCTGGTCTGTCGCGCAGCACACCGGGGACCGTGAACGGGGTCAACCGATGAATTATCTGAGATACGGTGGGAAGCAGCAGAAATGGCCCCCACCACTGTCCCTCTTCTTCCCCGTGCAGGTTGCAAGCCATGGGGAGCCCCGGGGAGCCCCTGAGCGCGCTGTTCCGCTGGTACATCTATGCCATCCACGGCTACTTCTCGGAGGTGATGTTCACGGCCACGTGGGACTTCATCCTGGACCAGGACTGGAGGTTCCGGGGAGTCAGCAGCGTATGGGCCCTCTTCATCTACGGGACGTGTGGCTTGGTCCTGGAGCAGCTCTACCTGCGCCTGAAGGCGATCTGCCGCCTCCCGACCCGCGGCGCCCTCTACACCGCCTGCATCTACCTCTGGGAGTTTGCCACGGGCTACCTGCTGCGCCACTTCGGCGCCTGCCCCTGGGACTACAGCCACTTCCACTACAACTTCATGGGCCTGGTCACCCTGGAGTACTGCGTCTTCTGGTTCGTGGGCTCGCTGCTGCTGGAGCAGGTGGTCATCCGGAACGTGCTGCGACTCAGACTGGACGTGGCCTGGAAGCCCGGCAATCATCCGGTCACCAGTTTTGGACTGAAAGATGACTGACTTTGGGGGGGAAGGGAGGGAGACCACCACCCCGTTCCTGCGTGGGGCGTGGCTCCTCCAATTCATTCCTGCCCCACCGGGCAATAGGAACTGTTTTGCTTTAACTGATTGGTGCTGGACTTGAGTGTGGGGCTGAATCCAAACCTAGCTGAAAGCAAATGACTTTAGGCTTGTCAG